GGGGAAATGTGGAAGGAGGGAGAGCAGGGAGAGGAGGGGTGAGGAAAAAAAGGAAGAGGACGGAGAGGATGGTGGAAACAAGGAGGACAAGGAGGACTTTGGGCGTAAGACCTCTTGAAATTCTGTCGAGATAGGCCAGGCGTGTCTTGGTAAATGGGACCGTGGGTGGACACTTGCACTCATCAGCCAAGGAACGAATATGCAGCTGATGGTAGCTCCCTCGAGCCGCACAATACCACACATCCAAATTACAATGGTACATCATCTGGTCGCTTGGGTGAGCCCAACCACCAGCGAAATGTAAAAGCTTTCCACGAGGAGCCCTACAAACCCCAGACGACTGAGTTTCAAGGCGAAAACACGGCGACTTCAAAAACTCCCCCTTCGCGGCCACCGGCGTGGTGCCTCTACAAACTGTGCATCGCTTGCCACAATGGGCCAAGACGTACTGGGTGCTGAAGAGGGCGACCGCGGATGGAGCGGGAGGGGGAGTTCGGACGGCGGTAGCCGATGGACGAACCCTACTCTTTTTTGCCATCTTTGGCAGCAAGTTCCAGCGTGGCCCGCAGGAGCTGGTGCCGTACGGAACGAGCCTCGTGTTCCACCAGCTCGACCCGTGCTCTCTGTTCGCCAAGGGCTCTGGCTTCCTTGGCCGCCACCGACGCCAGGTTGTCCACGAAGTTGTTGCCAGCGACATGCCAGCCCACGAACCTCCGCTGTATGACCTCCTCGCCCGTAACGTGTGACGGCACTTTGATCACTGCAACTTTCGAGTGATGTCTACCCTGCTCATGAAGAGGCCGCCAGATTTGCCGCATAGATCGGTATTGCACGTCTTGGTCGACGATGCGATCCGACTCTGAACTTGGATGAAACGCCGTTTCCACCGTTCTTGACAAACATCCTCATCGTTCGCGATGTAGACCGTGAAACCGCTGGACCACCTTATGCTCAGAAGTCGAGTCAACAACTCTCCACGGGGTACAGTTTGCCTGGCTCCTGGCAGAGGTGCATACACAAACTTTGACTCTGGTCCAGGAGACTCTCCAACGGCCGATATTGCTAACCCGACCCAGCGAAGTCGAGGATCATGCGTGTCGAGGCCGCCAGACGCACCCCCATGGACATATACTGGCGGCTGCTGAGATCTTTTTCCAACAATCTTGGTCAAGTTCGTCCTTGTGACTAACCGTCCATGGCTCCTCTTGTGTTGGAGGGTCGACTGCTGTGAGCCGGGATGGGATTGAAGCTCGATTTCAAAGACATTCCATGCTAACTCCTTGAACTAGTGCTCTGCTGCACCAATCCTGAGACATGTCAAATTCTGGCGAGCCTGAATTACACTTGCCTGCCCAGAAGCGATGGCGAGGGGTCTCTCGTTCCTTGTCGCACCTGGCACAATCGGATGGTATTTGATATCATGTCTCTGACTTCCGGGAAGCTGTCCAAGCTTCCCCGCTGTGATGGTAAGCAACAGGTGAGCAAGACTTCTCCCACCTTGGGGATACTCTCGAGCTGTAATTGCTTGCGAAGGGGCAAATTATCTACTCCGTGCTCCATCCCACTGCCACATAATGTAGACAACGCTGCAAGCTGCCACTGCTTCCGCTGAGTGGTCCGAACGAAAGCGTCCAGCAACTCCTCCGCCTGATCGATGGGCTCGAAGTCGCCGCTGGAGGAAACCCAACCTGCCTGATGGCCCGTCTCATCCGTTGGCGGGCGCCGTAGCGTAGGCCGAGGAATATCCCGGCCAACGTCGACCAGATAATGGGCCACCACCGTCAGAGGACCTCGTATATGGCGAGCTCGATGCTGAGCCTCGCGCTGTTGGTAATTACGAGCCGTACTTTTCCAAACACGTGCCGCTGGCCCGCGTGCCCGAGGAACAGCAAACCATGCTTTGAGCCACTCTGCTAGACAGTGGCGACGCAGGGAAATGCCTGGATCCGCGGCGAGCGCGCGGATGTCCAACAAAGTAATGACACAGTGGCCCCGTCTGTGTCTCCCTGCCACTGCTCCAAGGCGCCTCCTCAAATGAATGATAAATGACCTCGGCAGCCCGTGTATCTGATTGCCGTGCCTAGCGCCAGCCTGAGGGCCAGCCATCTCGACCCTCTGAAGCACCTTAAAACGTCCGCTGATTTGCGCAAGCCTGCGGGCAATGAGATGTTGACGCAAAGTGTCGCTGAACCTTTTGCGCCTGACGGCTCGCCCGAGCAGCTTGCCGCTAGACAAATCCACGCCCGAACGAGCTGTCTGCGGGACAACCAAAACCTGAATACCTTGCCGACGTAGTCGCTTCTGAAGGAACTGGGCACCTTCCATTTCCGAGCAAGTGATGGTACTCTTCTGACAACTGCGAACAATAATCGGCTAACAGGTCATGTGTAGCAACGGTGCCATTGACAATTTGATCACAAACATGAGACTCATACCCAACCGGCGTCTGAAACAAATCATCAACCCAAAGCCGCAAGGACACCTGCGGATGACTTACAGTGAGCTTAGACATGATGAGTCTGGTGATGCTCCGAGCGAATCTGGTTCCACTCCTGAGCCCTTGAGTGATGCTGCGTGCGCCGCGCGCTCTGGAACGGGCAAGGGGCTGCGCCCCTTGGTCCAGGAGCCTCGTGGCCGCGCAAGTCCGGAGCTCGAGCCCCAACATAATTGGCGGGGGCCCGCGCGAGAGATCCTTCGACCAAAACCGACCACTCTGCTTCGTCATAAAAAGGTTGAGTTTCAAGAAGGGCATGTCCATGAGGCCTTGAGCTTCGCGAGGAGTTCTTCGTCTCGCCGCCTCCCGATCAGGCGCCGAAGCTGCAGCCCGTTATCGAGTGATCGGTTCCCGCGCCGGCGACCAGATTCTGTAGGCCATGCCGATGAGGCCGACCACGCGGTTGGCAGAACTCTTTTTGGCGAGCAGCCTTCCCGGCACAGGTAGAATTGCCGTGGCAAGGTTTGGCGCTGCTCGCTCATGGTGTACATGACTGTGAGGTCCAACGAAGCCTGATCGGGCAGTCGCTCCAGGTCGATGGGCGAGAACTTGTCGACCCTTGACCTGTCCTCGGCTTCGTGGACCGAAGTGCCGAACGAGCTTCATCAACCGATAATGGGGCAAGCGGCGCTGCCGCCAAATGCCGCCGAATGTTGTCGAACAGATCCCGCGTGCTGGCCTTTGTGTGATCAGCCATGGGGGCCCATG